TTATGAATCCAGAGACATCTGCCTTCTGTACAAGCCATCTCAGGACCTGGAGGCGGATATCTTCACAAAGGACCTATCCCGAGACCAGATGAAGAAACACCTGGAGAGCCTCAGCATCGTGGGAATAAAGCCAAAGTAAGGAGGGAATTGTTACACAGACTTTGACTTTAATCATCATAGATGCTGACGTCACTACTACGATGACGTAACTTCCAACTTCTACCTTCAAACTTGCTGTTATTGTTTACCGCTAACTTGTCTTAACAATATATGTAATGGAACAAGTCGTTCCTTAAATAAATATATATTTGTTTTTATCTAAAGGGATGTCCTCGTAACTACAACATACGTGAGTACAAAAACAACCAGAAATCCTCAAAAAGAATAACCGTTTTTTGCTAAGCCTATATCAGAGGCCATTAAAGCATTTTTTTTTTAAATTATTATTAGAAAAAAAGTTCCCAGTGTGGTATCCGATCCCAGGTCGTAGCGATCGAAAACCAACGGTTTAGACCATCCTTCCACCGACCCCCTATGGCCTGATCTAGTGATTTATGTATGCACGTCTTTAAATGAACAATTATCATTAAATATCATTCAAACTGAATAGTAAAAATAAATAAAAAAGATAAAGAGTAATATCATACAGAAGATGAAACACAAGTCAAGCAGAAGAGTTTCGTTTATAAGAGGATGATTGTACAAACTTTCTCAAGACGTCTTTTTACGGGTACCCTTTAAATGGCGTATGAATTGTGCTATTTTCAAAACGAATTATTAACGAGGCCTATATTAAAATATGATATCAAATAACTCGTTCAATGTGTAAAACTAGCATTTAAAATGATATTTAAATACAAGATTATAAGAAACAGAATGAAAAAGTACCATATATTATGTTAAAATCAAGCCAAATACATATACAACAAGTCTAACATATGTAATTCCTTCAATGAGGCCTCAAATTATAACCCAACATTAACTCAAAACCCACCATTAACCGCTAAACATGTAATCTGGCTTATTAACAAGAAATTGAACATTTTTTATTTGAAAATTTATAAAAACAATACTATCTTATTATTCTTAGAATCGTGAACACTCATATTATAAATTTTATTTATAAATATTTATATATAATAGTTTCGTTGAAAACAGGTGCGCATAAATTTTGTAGAAATAATAAATAAAAAATCTATAAATTGTTCTATATTTATTCTACTTCGATCAAGTAATCAATGCATTTCCACAAAACAATGGTCACATATTTATAACAAACCGTCGTTTGATGGAAATAGCTATTTATAGCTAACTTCCAGGATAAATGGCCTTGGGAATACAGCAGGTGTTTAGCCTCCCAGAAACCCAAATTTTCTTCGAATTGTCTATTTAATTATTAAATGTTCCTTCGCTTGAATCGTTTAACTCAAACAAGAAAAATATAAATGTATTATACAAAAAAAATTCCCGGAAAAAAAGCTTTATATTATGCTAGTTTAATAAAATTATACATATATTTATATAATAATTTTATACATATTTTTTTATAAAAGTTGTATTTTAAAAATCAATATAATGTAAACTATATTTTTTCGTTTTAAAATATTACTCGGTTTAATAAATAAACAAACAAAAAATCACAAATTAAATCTAATTTCGAGTTAACCAATAAGACTAACAATGACGTCACGTGACCCATTTATGACGTCACTTTTTAAATCGATCTATTTTGACGTCATCAGTCAGCTGGAGTAAGAGATCAATGCCAGGTTCGTCTGTTTGTTTTTGTTTCCCTTTTGCCTATTACCAAATTATTTTAATGCATTAAAAACTATTTTATAGCATGTAATTTGTTAAACCATATCGTTTGATATTAAACTTTTTGAATAGGTGTTAGAAATTTTATATTAGACAAATTTTTGAATACATAACTTTATACTTGCGTTATATTTATTTTAAATTATATATATATTAACATAGTTTTTTTTTTTAATTCAGTTTTGCACAGATATTTCATAGAGCCTTATATTTTGTAACCATTTTTAATTATTTAAAAAAAAATTAAATAGAATTCTCGTATATCAAGTTTATAATTGTTTACATATTTTAAGAATATTGTTTTTGTATACATTGCTTATATAAATTGCTTAGATAAGTCTGTGTGTTTTGTTAAGATAAAAAAAAAAACCTTCCATTTAAATTCAACACTTAAAATATATATATATATTTTTTTAAATATGTATTTTTTTACAAAACAATTTAACGATCGCGATTAAATTAAAACTATAAATAAATTTACCCAAAATTTATTTAGAAAAAAATTATTCATATTTAAAATATCAGACGATAGTTTAGAAGGCGGGAAGTAATTCGAAAGACACTGCGCATGTGCACGCCGCTGATGAGGAATTACGCAACAAGGAAAACGTATTGATTCTAAGCGTAGACGGGGGGGGTTCTGGGGAAGTGTTGGCAGATTTCCACAAGGCATGCAACAGTCCTCTATTTCGTCTGGTTGTTTCAGATGGCGTTCTGGCGGGATGGACGTATTCATATCGGGGACAACCTGGCCCCCATAGACCTTAGTGACCGTCAAGTGGTACTGAAGAGTGTAACAGTCCTTCCAGAAGGAGGAGGCGAGATGGTGCGCGTGGATCTTTCCCCAATACATCCTCGGATACATACGCCTTTCTTCAAGCGTTCTCCGAGACCATCTCAAGACATTTCTGTTAGCAAGAGTCAATCTAACGATAGCGTTGCATCCTGTTGCCGTATCTGCCATGACAACGAAGGATCCCTCGTCGCTCTATGCCGTTGTACAGGTACTGTAGGCAGAGTGCATGTACCCTGCATGGAACGTTGGCTGGGAACAGCAGGTATAGACCGCTGCGAACTATGTGGATTCCAGTTCCAAACTGAAATGTGCCAAAGTGGAACAATCTGCCAATGGTTATCAGAATCGAGAGGCACAGCTGTCGACTTAGGGTGTTCCTTGTTGCTCACCCCTTTGGTTGTCCTAGCAGAGTATCTCTGTCTTGAAGGTATAATTCACCATTCTGGATGGGAATCAGGATGGTTAACAGTTCTCTCTGGATTTCTTCTCTTTGTCTATTTACTCTGGGTGTTCCTAACCTTCCGCTACCATCGTCGACAATGGAAGACGTGGAAGCTAACTCAACATAAAGTCAAAGTAATCCTACAACCTCAACGTTCTGCTCAACAACAGCCACAACAGTTCAACCTGACAATTCCAGAGATTGCTGATGTTCAGCCTCCGTCTCCCATAGAGCCAGTAGCAACTCCATTGGCCCCTCACCAATTACTACACAGTACACCACGTAATCCACCCAAATCTTTCCATGATGCGGCATGCTGGACTGAACCTCTTCCTCTCAGAACCTATTCAACTCCAGCTTATTGTCCTGGATCGACTTCTATGGGCTATTTCACACTTCGAGCATTGGAGGCATCTGCAAGATCACCTGGTCTTCGAGAGACAATCGTCTGATTTAACATATTGTTGGTTCGTTCTTTTTTTTTTTTTTTTTTCACTCAACACACAACTTTAAAATGCATCTTTTTTGATAGCGATTTACATTTTTAAAAATATATTTCTGCAATATTTTAGGCATGTCTATATTTACAGAAAATGTAAATAAATTTATATTGAAATTCTGATTTTTTTTTCTCTTTTTTATTATTCATTGACTATTTTTCGCAGCCATTTCTATCTTTAAGGTAACATTAATATGCTAGGTATTTTTATGAAGAGGGAACGCGTACTAATTATTAATGGTGTTAAAAGTTGGTATTGTATATAGAAAAATATTGTGCATTTGTGTGTGTGAAAATTAACAAAAATATATTTTAAAACTTATTTCTATTATAATTACACAAATTATAATGGAAAATGCTAAAGAAAATACCATATATTAAAATGTAAAACAACCTCTTCACTCAATTGTAAATATGTAAATTAGAACAATAATCCGTTAATGAGCTCCCGAGTGAATGTTTACTCTAACTAAATTTATGTTTAACAAAAGTTTACTATTAGTATATGAATGTTAATGAATTATAATGTTAATAAAAACTATACAATGGTCAAACATTCACTCGGGCAAATCCTAGCAGACGATCTAGATTAGAGTTTGATAATATATGATAATTCATTACCACTGGTTTGCGGATTTCGACAAATTACAAAAAAAATGCATAAGATACGCCGCAAATCTTTTTATTTACTTGATTAATGAAGCTTTCGGGCAACTTAGTTTTAGTTATCTGAAGAAGGGTTTGACCGAAAGCTTCATTAATCAAGTAAATAAAAAGTTGCGGCGTCTTATGTCATTTTTGCATAATATGATAATGTACTAATTTTCCACCAATTGATATATTTTTATAAGAGAATGGTAATCATATTTACATATACGATTTTACAAGAAAAAAACAACACCTATCTTTACATTATAATTCGGCAGGTGTCTCCGGTTCAGGGTGGTTCTCCAGCTGATCGCCGCCATGGATCTCCAACATTTGACTGTCTATGGCGATATCTCTTCAGCACCCAATCTATGACTTCGTTTTCCTTAGTTCTCTCTGAACTGGCGTTATCTCCGTTTCTCTTTTTAATGGATATTTGTATCGGTTTTTTTAGCACTATGGATTGGATGTAAGTAAAGTCTCTCTCGTAAATTTGCAGTTCTTTTCTGTAGCCTTTCTTAAACTTCGTCACCAACATATTCCATGTAAGAACAATGCAAATTGCCTGTACTGACATTCTCCCTAATATGTTCTTTTCTCTTGCCAGTGTCTCGTACTTTCTTCACTTCGTCATTTGCCATGATCGTCTAGTGGTTAGGACATTGCGTTGTGGCCGCAATAACCCAGGTTCGAATCCTAGTCACGGTACTTTTTTAGTCCTCGGTAGTATAAGTAGTTATTATTCCCGCATGTCACGCGGGTGACCGGGGTTCGATTCCCCGCCGGAGAGCTTTTTTTCCCACATGGTCTATTGGTTAGGATACCTGGCTCTCATTCAGGAGGCCGGGGTTCGATTCCCGGCGTGGGGAATTTTTTTTTTGGGGGCCACGAAAATTATACATTTTGGTTTGTAACACGTAAAAGCATATTCTCTCTTTACTTCGTCATTTCTATAGTTTTGAGGTTTGGTTGGGAAATGATTCCAATTTCAATGGTGATGATTTCTTTTTCTATTTAGTTATAAACCACTATGACTGGTGTCTATTAGAACTTAAGTCAGTTTTATTGTCTGTTATTATTTTCACGTAGGCGTTCTTTTTTTTTTTTTTTTGTTGTTACCCTATGTAGTTTGATTCTGTTGTTCTCCGTGATGTTAAAATCTTCTCGCTAGACTGAAATGGATGCACGCAGCACTTTGTTATGTCTCTCCGTGTATTCTTTATCAGATATTTCTCCAGCTTCGCCAGGATGTGCTTTCCATACGTGTACTTGCGCAAGGCGGGGATATGCGGACGGATTTTGTGCACCAGCAGCTTGCGCTGGGGTGCATCAGCCACTTCAATAATCTTCTGTACAACGTAGTTGGCATACTGGTCCCTCATCATGTCTCTCCGTGTAGTTGTATGCGTGAAGGTGACCACAATTTGTGACGTGGTGGCTTACCGATTTTTTCGCCGATTCGCAATGTGGACATTTGACTCCTTTGTCCCATAGAAATATGTTTCTATCCTGGAGGACCATGTAGAAACCTTCGCTTTGTGGAACGTCATTTGTCAGCCATAACGATGATCTCTTATAGTCATAGCCTTGAGTTTCTTCATTATCAGAAATTTTTGTAGATTTTCTTTTTTAAAATACTTTTATATATATAATTCAATTCATTTTGTATTTTAAAACTTTAAAGGTGCCTCTTCTGGAATCAAAAGAAATTATCTAAAGAACACGTGTACGTAGTTGGCTTTTCTTGATTAATCAAGAATGGGTATTTGATCAATTCTGAAATATTTAAAAATCAACGAATAGTTGATACTTTTTCCGACAGGTGGCGCAAGCCATCAGAAACTTTTAATTTCACAATCAGTAGATGCCTTTTTCTTCATTTTTCCCACCTGAACTGAGTTAAATTTCACTTTTATACTATTTTTCATATTTTCTTTGTGTTACGATAATGGTCAAGGTTTTTTTCAAACCTGATATAATTTGCGCGCGTCGTTAATCTTCTTTAGCTTCTTCTGTCTAACCTAGAAGTCAGTGGATGAGAGGATAACACCCTTGATTCCCGACAGTCATGAACTGGGATTGAATCCCACGTTAATATTTTGTTTAATATGTGAATAACCTTCACATATTATTCATTGTTGTAATTATCATAAACTAGGTTGTTCTTGTTGAGCGGTACCTAGTAAAGTGATTTTGGAAGCTTCTTCTGTGTCGAGTCTTGCGACTTATTGGACCTTAGTGTCAACATCAAGGGTTCAGTCGAGGAGTGGTAAAAACCGTCATTTCCGATAGCCACGACGGAGGTTCGAATCTCGCATTGGGTACTTTTTTCTGACTAAAAAAATTACTCGAATGGCCCCACGATTCTTGCAAAATTCCAACTCAGGCTCTGCCACATTTTGCAAGTTCAAAAGTCGCACTGATTTCTACATGTGGCGTACTTACAGTAAAACCAGTCGTCCACTACTACCCACCATGATTATCATGGACTATCACCTGCACTAGGGATAATAAAAACATCAAGGCGACAACGTTTTACTTCTGTCGTTTAGGAAACGCGTTTCAGGCCGATCAGCAGTTTCTGTATCAATTTACACTCAATGGACAAAACTTATGGAAGTGGAAAGTCTGGTCGTTTTTTGCAGGAGACAGAGGTTGTTCACACTTGGTTATCTCATGTCTTCAATAAAGGTCACTGTAATATCTTTCAGAGTTATTATTTGAATCCCGATATACATGGTAAAAGGTACAACTTCCTTAAGTTTTGTCTATGAGTGAACTTCCTTCATACTTTCCAGAAGCTCTACTTGTTGTTTTATGGTTTCACCATCTCAATACGAAGTTTTCTTTCAGTTTTTTAATCAATACCTCTTTCTTTAAAGCGATAACGTGCCATCTATATATAGGTAATGTAAACATTAAGACATAAACACAAGGTAATAAGACCAAATCCAAATAAATAAATAGTGTGTGAAGTTTCGGTAACAGCGTTGTTACCATCTTCAGACAAAAGTCCTGAATGAGAAATTTTACCACAGCATGGGTTAAATAGTTAGTTATCATTAAGACATAAATATTACTTTTACATATTACAACAACAACAACAACAACAAAAGCCTTTATTTAGGGCCACTCGCCCTATACAGGATTCGCCAGTTCACAAGGGATAGGGAGAACACTGTGAGGCCTTTTTCCGGGATATAGTCTTGTGGAATCCAAATATCGCCATCGCTATATACCTATTCTTTGATATTTCATTAATCAGTGCCGGAAATGAAGGACAAAGTTGCCCCGTTTTATCATTTAGTTTTCGTCTTTCCTCAGACAGAGCAGCACAGTCAAATAAGTAATGCAACATCTCCGTTGTTATTCCTGATCCACAGAAAGTGCATTTCAGGTACTTTTACATATTAATCAAACTTATACTGTCCTTACTGCGATGAAATATTGGGAGGACTTGGAAATAAGGACAGTAATAGTTGGATTTATGTGTCATGGAAACATTCATGCCTTAATGTTTAAATTTCCACCTTTATTAAGACCTCTTTATTCTTATATACCGATTTTCTCCCAAGATATACACACACATACATCTTTATTAGGGGCTCAAAAATCGTCCATTTTAGTTAGCAGCCCCATAAATAAAGATATTTCCACATCTTTATTAAGACCACCGGTCATATACAGATTCACCATAGGAAGGAAACATAGATGGAGCTCCTATACTCCAGGCAGCACCGAACTTAACAGCCTCCAGGTCCGATGCATGTCCAGTGGCCACAGAATCCACCGTGCATAAGTTAGCATATCACTATTTATTTATTTATGCTTATGAGGTGATACAGCAGCGTATTTACAATTAGAGAGGAGACAAAGCTGCTGTATTGTCCGTGAGGTCAGACGTACGGACCTCTGTGGTGTTGATCTCTTGGCGGAACGACTGAAAAGGTAAAAGATACAGCAAATGAATGGTAAAAGAAGAAAGAAATTAGAATAAACAAAATCTTCAAATGATTTCATGAGATGTACAAGGGATTGGTGAGGATCTTCCAAAGAGGTTGTTTCTTATCCCCTTGTGCAAAGATTACACAAATTCAATGTGTTCAGTTTAACTAGTAAAGTAGTTTAGCCAATTGTAATGGGTAGTTTTTTTTAAATCTATTTTGTTGAAAATAAAACCTTTCTTTTCTTTTAAAAAAGAATCCCCAAGTCCTGTTAACTACCTCAGTGGGGAGGTTACCCTGGGCAGGAGAGTATGCCTGGAGTCTTGTACTCCTGGTACCCTAGACATGAAGGCTGCTGTCCTACTAAGCCTAGTTAAATGTTAACAGGCAAAGTTGTATGCCAAGTCTTGTTATCTGCCTCAGTGAATCACTATTGTCTTCAAATCAAAGAACTTAATAGTTTTTAGATGGTAACACAAGACTAAATTCTATGTGATATTTCTATAACAGTAATGTAACCATCTTCAGACAAAGGAGTACAGAATGTCTTCAATAATTGGCACACCAGAATGAATAAGTAATAAATTTGTAAGTGCAAAGTTGAAATGTCTTTCACATGTGTAGCCATGTGGTGCACTTACAGTAAAAGCAGTCGCCTTCTTTTATCCACCATGATTATCATGGCCGGCCTGTACACCACATGTACTAGGAATAGGCAAAGAGAATAAATAAACCTATATAGGAAATATGCACATCTAGAGAAATAATTATGCAAATTGTTTCCTTCATACATAGTAATTTAACTTTTAATATAGTTATTAAACATATTCCTAGTTCTTTAGCATCTCTTTCACATTCCTTTTCTGAAATCATTTGAAAAGATGAATAATAACAATATTAAAGATGAAGAAATGGACCCAGGAGGAGCTCTGAACCTCAGACAGCACCAAAAAACACTAACAAGATTTAGAACAAGCCATCTCAAGCCAGTGAAGATAGAAAATAACAACAAAATTCACCCCACTTGCCCAAAATGTAGCTTGGCACCTGCAGAACACATTTTGGCTTGTATTAGATGCACTAAACAGGATCTTTGGGAGAGGCCACTGTTTATCATCAAGCAGCTCGAGGAGCATGGACTTATGGAATTTGTAATCTTTACACAAGGGGATAAGAAACAACATGTGTCAGAAGTAGGTCAGTCTTTATTTACATATTTTGGATTCTAGGGATCTAACAGGATAATTTCATTTAAGTATCACTGTTGTTTCTTATCCCCTTGTCTAAAGATTACATGAATTCCATGAGTTCATGCTCCTCAAGCTGTTTAAAGATCATAGTTTAATATGACATATATCAACATCTGGTATGCAGATATGTCTTAATTTGGAATGGAATTTGTGTAATCTTTACACAAGGGGATAGGAAACAACAATGTCCTAATTTTGCCAGTAAGAATTTTGTACCTTAATATTTGTATCTTGAGATTTGAAACTAACACGAACCTCTATGACCTAGCTTGCAAGTAATTTTCCTTCTGTAATTTGATTCCATGAACATTCATGTGGGGCTGGAGCCACAAAAATGGGTTGCCCCACACCACGTAATTTGTTTTATTGTTTGGCCACAGAATCACAGCAAAATGGCTGGCCAAAGTTGAATATCACAAGAACCTACAGGACATGCACCAATTGGCCTGGTGTGGAACTATCACCTACCCACATATTCTCATGTCCAGCAATGGCTGCATAAAATTGACATGGATCCATAACAGCAGCTTTACACACCCGAGATAGAGAATGACTGCTGGGATAGAGATGTACGGAAACATCTGAGGCTCTTCATTGGACACGACAACAGAAAATTGACATGGACCCATAACAGCAGCTTTACACACCCGTGATAGAGATGTACGGAAACATCTGA